AATATAAATATTATAGTAATTTAGTTTTTAATCTATTTAAATATAAATATTATTAAAAAATTTGAAATATTAATGAAACAAATAAAAATATAAAAAATGAGAGATACGAATATCAATTACCTTTATTTATTACAATCAATATATTAAGTATACTTAATAACTATTATATTTTTTATAATAAATTTAAAAATCTTAAAGAAAAACAAAACTTGAAAAAAAAAATAAGCAAATTTTTAATTAAATTCATAAATAAAAAATAACTTGTTGAAAAAAGCAAAAGCAGAAATTTTTAAAATTTGAAAAAGGTTTTCTAATTAAAATATCATATTTTTTAAATTCAAGTTTTATTTTTATTGTAAATATAAAAAGTTTATATATTTTAAAAGATAATATTAAATTAAAAAAAAAATTATTTATTTAAATTTAAAAACAAAAAAAAAATATCTTGATATTTTTTTGATAAAACAAATAAAAATTTTTTTAACAAGTATTAGATATTAAACTTAAATATTTATTATTATTTTAATAATGATTTTTATAAAATAAATTAATTATAATCTGCTAAATTATCAATAACATATAAGAACTTACATAATAAAAAATGTTTTATAAATTTTATATTTAATTTAATATAAACAGCTTATTTTAATATAAACATATATTTTTAACAAAATAAATATAATTAAAAATTTGATTTTTTAAACTTATGTTTTATTGTAACAATATATAGCTTGTGTATATTAAATATTTTTGGTTATAAATTTATATTAACAAATTATTTTTTATTGTACAGTATTATATGTAATATAGTGATTGATTTTTTTATAAAATTATTATAACTTTAAAATATGATATTTAGAATTGTTATTATATCAAAATAGTTATGGTAAATATAATTAAGAACTTACTAAATTTTAAATAAGTAATTATTTATGATACAGCATACAGTATATACAGTATATTTTTAACAAAAATATTTTATATCTGATTTTTTATACAAATATTAAAAAATTTTGATAAAATTTCACTTTTTATCATTAATACATATGGTATATAATATATACTGTATACTGTATATATTATTTTAGATTTAATTGACAATTTTTTTTTTCTGTCAACACTAAAAACCATAAACATCGCATTTGCTTTTTTTTTTTTTTTAAAAAAAAAAAAAAAAAAATCACAGACATTGCATATAGCTAAAAGCCAAATCGGTATTTTTTAAATGAATGAGGTCGATTAAGTTCCAAACATATTAAGATTTATAACTTTATTTGTTTTTAATTTTATCTTTAAATTTTTTTTTTATATTGATATGCTAGGGGCATAGGGAAGTTGCGATATATACGACTATATATATATGTGTATATATATAGAGAAAAAAGTATGAAAACAAACCCAACCTCCTTTCTAACATATCCCTCGAACACGGGTTTTTTTTTTTTTACGCAATAAAACCTATGTGCATAAGGTCACGGGAATTGATTATTTCTAAAATTCACAGCGCGAAAGTTAACACCAACGAATATTCGAATAATGTTATTTTTTAAAAAAAAAACGATCGTCATTTACTTTTTTAAGTAAATGTTGGGAGCTTGGTCCATTTTGGCACCATTTGGCATAAATCACCCACCAACCAAAGTCGCCATAACGGATTGGATGGTGGTCGCAGAAGCAACCATGGGTCCGTTTCACCAGGAAGACACATAAAAACTTTATGAAAACATAAAGTAAGCCGCTACGAAGCATTCCTGAACGTGATCAACCGTTGTCGGTCCGTCTCACCAGGAAGACACATAAAAACATTGACAAGATAAAGTAAGCCGCTACGAAGCATTCCTGAACGTGATCGACCGGGTTTTCATAGTGGGTGAGTCTCTGTTATAAAATCCATTCTTGACGGTAATCCAATCGAGACGGAAACCCGTACTTGACGGAAATAACTTATACGATAGATAGATAATTATCCAGAGACCGTAGCCATTGCCGACGTCTGACAGATTTGATGGTTCAAAGTGATTAGGAGAATCATATTTTAACAACGTTAAAAAATTAAGATAGCTAGAGTGTTTACTAACTTGCCAGCTCGTTTTTGTCATTCTTTTAACGAGTAAGTTAGGTGATCTGAGGTGAATAGAAAACATATTTTAACGATCGTTAAAAAAAAAATAGGATAGCGAGAGTACTCACAAATTCGTAGAGTTGAATACTTCTTTAGAATTAATCCTAATGTTTACCGACTAGATTTTGGATAATAAGAGAAAAAAATCAAATGTTGGTGACAGATTATTAGGTAAGGATAAGCAACACAAGAAGATACGTTACTTATTAGGATCTTATACAGTACGAGAAAAAACCGTTCGAGGGACAGGAGGGCTGGGAAAAATGAGGATAAAAAGTGCCATAAAGGTGGGCAATGAGGACGAGTGAGCGCCAAAGTTTCCTACTTGCGAACATTGTGGTCTTTTATACTAGGAATTCCCAGACTATTCAGACTACTTTCAGCCCTATTGCCATTACACAATGCATGATATAATATAGATAAACCGGTTTTTATTCTAAGCCTATGTTCACGAAATTTTCCGTCAACCCCGCATCACACTAAGTGGTAGCATCAAAAAGGTCAGTGTATTTTTATTTCCCAATTTAGAATTCCCCTTGGACACTGCAGAAAACTAAAAAAATTTTTTTTTTTTAATAGTTGGATAGTGAAATGTTGGTTGCAGGACATCATCATCTCAGCCCTAGAAATAAGTAACGAACGATAAGATAATTTGGCAATGATGCGACAATAATTTATACTTTTATGGATTAAGGATGGAATTTACACAATGTAATTTCCTTTCTTAAAAGGAGTGTCCTTATAGATGGAAAGATAACATTGATTGCTAATTTTTTTTTCGTGATGATACTGTAATCTTAGGATATATGGAAAAACTGAATGGGGCTTCTAGCCTTCACCGTTAAACAATCAACATGCACTTTTTACCATTTATCGACTACTATCCCTGGGATGTAACGCTCTTCCTAAAAATAGGTCGATTTTAAAACACTATTGATCCGTGTAGATAACGAATGATCCTTTTACGCAATCATGTGACATATCCGACGGATTTTATTGGTCTCGGAGGAAAAAAAATCGATTGGTCGAGAATGAAGTCTTCGTCGAGAGAGGGAATGGCAACGTTCAGGAATTCGTCGTATATTAACGATCAAATCCTCAATGAAAATAATTTAGACAATATTAAAGATACATTTAGGTTTCTTGAAAGAGGTGGGAATATTTTGCAAAATACGGAGCTGGTAAGCAAAAGAGGGGTACGCGTGAAAACTTGGACCTTTCACATCTAAGAGAAAGTTTTTTTGTTCCTTTTTTTTTAGGCTTACTTAAAATTTTTGCCCTATATATCGATAAATCACAATTCCAAAACACTTCCCTTTCTCTCAAGATATTCACAGGTATTCCTTCTTCCCTTCCCTTTTTCCCTTTCTATGTTTTGAAACTATACTCGAAAAGTTTGATTGTTTCTTTTTTAATTGAATATTTATGAATTTCTTCTTCTTGTCAGTTCACTTGTTCTTTAATTAAATATTTATGAATTTACATACAGTTCGACAGGATTTGCGGTTTCGCGGCAATCGATCAAAACAATGTGAAAATCGGGATCAAGGACAATGCATATCCAAAGCCACCGCTAACATCAGCGATGGTATTGATCACATCTTGCTCGCAACTAGTATTGTAATTTTTTATAATGACAAGATCTTTATATCAGGAAATTGACGTTGGCTACGTGCCATTGAATAACGCTGATGCCGAAACGATGATGAGGTAGGAAATTGATCTCTCGAGGTATCTTCTTCAATTTTTAATAACCAATCAATATTCATTATTTTCTGTTCGTTTATTTATCTTATTCACAGATCAATCTTACAGGACATACATGATCTTACAAAATCGGCAAAACTGTTTTATATCAAGAACCAAAATACTGTTGAAAAGTATTGCGATTTTCTCATCCAGAATCAGTCGTATTTTCAATATCTGAGAAGGACCGATGTGGCGTTAACTCCGCAATATTCTATGCCCATCATGTTGTATAAGTGGGATCTTGGATCTTTAGGTATCAATTACGAGGTGCGCAATCTTTTGATGAGGATTTCTTGCTTTTTTTTCTTTTCTTTGCAAGTTTGCTTAAAATAGTGTTTGATATATGTGTCGTTATTACATTAGGATTTTTTACGCGCCTTACTACTTCTAGAGAATGGTCCGTCGATTATAGAATTCATGGTCATCAACAATCCGCCCATCTTTGACAAGGTAGGATCATTTAACCATGTTAAATTGATTTTTTTTTTTTTTCCGCAAGTGTTTCTATTAATCAATTTAATACCCAATTCACTAGATTGTAAAAATTTTAGTAAAGGCTCATAGTAATCTTCCAACAAGGTACAAAGGTCGTCTCAAAGAAGCCCTTGAAAAAATGATTAATTTAGCTCCGCATCATGCAAACTTCATGCGAATGATTCTGACCGACCTGAAGATATTACCAGAACTTGCCTTTGAATTAACTCTTGACATCTGTAAAGACATTGTGTGTTTTTGAGTTTTAATTAGAATTGTGAAATTTTTAAAAATATTTTCAACCAACTTACATTCATTCATTATTTTATATGAACACATCAAAGCCATTATACTGCGAGGGGATTTTTACGCGTAATACTAAGTGGCTTACTGCTACCGTGTTCAAAAAAGAAATAATTGATGCCGTACATTCTAGACTAATGCTAGCTTTGAATAACGAACTTGTAATGATAAAGAAAGCCTCTCACTTCTACCTGAACATCAGAACATTCTTGACACAAGTGATAACGGTCGTTACTTTTTAGGAGAAACCAAACATGCCACCAACGAATCATCGAACGAGATTATGCATTCTCATTCGACTTGTTTGTGGATTTGTTAGCATATTTAAAAAAAGGATAGATCCTGAGGAAATTAAAGAATGCTTCAAGGTGGTGCACGCGGCGGAGTCCGACAGGTATCATTGGAGGCATTTATTATTCTGTAAGGATTTCCGGAGTATTAACCTTTTCTTCTTACCATTGAAGGCTCAAGAAGATATGCTTAAGCTTTGTATTATTCTTTGCGGAGTTGATTGCAGACGCTGATCGGGTAATTCTTGGACTTGACTTGGGCACGGGGACAAGAAAAACTAACTGATATTTATTTCTTTTCTTGATGACGTATTTTAGTTGCGCCTATTCTCTTTAATTGTTAATCCCGCAAATACGCAATTGTATTTGTTGTTTGCTTATTTCTTTAACACCAATAAATTTGACTATATCGAAAAGCTGTGTCGTAAAATTTTAACTTTGGATGTGATGATATCCGCAAAGGTTTTGAGGGAGTTACAATATTCGACAAGGGGGTTATTTCAAGAGAAAACATTGGCAAGGTCTGCATTGGAGATGGATCCGAGTACAACCTTTTCGGATTTGGGGGTATGAACTATTGGTTTTCTCTTTCTCCAAAACTTCATTCAAACCATTCATCATTTTGTTTTACTTCACTTAGTTGTTCAAAGCACCTCAAGATTTTGCCTTCAAGTGTTTTTACGTTATGCTCAAAGGAGGTGTGTTTCATAAAGGAGGTGTGGACATTCAACAGTGGATGCTAAAGCAGATTCGACATGCTCAAACTCCGATACACGCCCAATTTGTAGCTTTGTTGAAGGCATACATTTACAGGTATCAATAAAAAAAGTTACTCTGGTCCTTATTACATTTAGCCTATGCTAATGATTTTATTGTTACTATTATTTCTATAGTATTTTTGTTGATCATGGTGCTTACCCGAATGTCATTTATCCAACCCCAATAACCAAGATTCCAGAAAGCGAAATCTTCGATATGTTTACCGATTGTATTTCAAATGTCACGCCATCGCACATTCTTATGTGTTACTACATTTTGACATTTAATTCTGTTTGTATGGAAAGAAGGTTGATCAATTCGTCAGCTAGTGATCCTAAAAGATCATGTACGTTTTCTGATCTTTTTGCTTTCGCACTTATGTCAATGTACATATATACGTCTTATATAAGTCATCGGAATTCTTTCATTATAGTATATTCGTATAATCTCACTGAGCTAATACCTGTACGAAAGATTCTGTTTATAACAGAAAGAAGCGGAGGCGGTAATGATTACAAGAATATATACCCTGAACTTCTTGGTCTCATATCTGTTAATTACCCGGAAATTTTTGATATTGAAAGTTTGCTGATTGATGAGGATCGCGAGATAAGGTGAGTGCAATGTAGCTCTGATGCGTTACATGTGCTTTCATCTCATCACCTTCCTTTTCTAATTCACGAACGAATAGGAACTTTAATACTAACTTAGAAGAGATCGCCGAGAAACTAGTATTATCGGCAAGCTCTGGACTTGATGATCCCGAAGAATCAGCTTTAGGTGGGCATTTTACGTTTTTATCATTCATATTTCCAAGGTTGCATCATTTGACACATTTCTTTAGCTATGAAACAGCTCGTCACGCTTCCACCCGAGGTTTTATATGAGCACTCGGATACCTTGATCATATTTTTGTTACCAAAGTTGCTGGATAGGTGCGTGTTATAAAAGTTCTTCAAATGCCAAGCTTTCCATGTTCACATTTGATTCTTTCTTATATCTCGAAAATGCATGACTCTAACAGGATGAACTTCGAGATGCTATATTCCATGAGTGAAATATGGCTTCTTTTGTACAGCATAAGCCCACACGAGGCCTCATTATTGTTTATAAATGGATTACGCGGAGAACAAGATCGAAGATATCGGTGATTATTTCTATAAGTTTTGCACTTTATATGAACGCTTTACGGATATTTTATACTAACTGTTCTACTTTACTCACAGATTTCCAGAGTTACAAATTATGCTTGATCCATCACTGGTTTTTCGGATCGATGATCGAACATTTAGGTGCCCTCCGTTGTATAAAATATTCTTAAGGGTAATCATTGAGACTGTCCGTTTAAGAACCCCAATGGTGTAAGATATGACATTGACTTTATGCTTTGCGTTTAGGTATTGAAATTTTACATGGTGGGATCACGACAAAGACTGCTTCGCATTTACCAAGAGAGTGCACACAAGGTGATAAATCTACTTTCCCGCCACGCTACTTGCAATGATCGTTTATGGCCTTACGAAATTTACAAATCAAATATTTTAGGATGAAATGAATCAAGTAAATCTTCCTCTAACGATCATGGAACAAGAAACTTTGTTATTATCGACTGTGATGGAAATCTGCACTTCCAAACCAACGGACAAAGGAAAAGAAGGTACTTTACACATAATAATTATTGATACCTTTATTACGATTGAAAATTAATTCGGATGTTATTTTTTAAGAAATCTTGGATCAAATTCGGAACGCCTCTTTCCGTTTTCTTCATCAAATATTTATTGAAAACAGTGATTCATTAAAAAATTTGCATTTTTGGGGCTACGCGAAAGAGTTGGTCCCATTAACCACGAGTCGAATAGAATCCATGCGTAGGTTTACCGACGGATCTTTCCACTGTCAGTGTACATTCCTTTCTGATGCTTAATTTTTTTACGTGTAGACACATGTATGCATTGGGTCCATGAACTTATAAACAACGAAGACGCTGAAAAACAAATGTTTGGCCTATGTTTAGCCGGTCACCTATGTGAAGTTTGGCCTATGTCAACTACGTAATTATTGTGCTTATCATTTTTGTTGTATTTATTGATTTTAAATTAGTCATCAACTTTTCGCGTTCAATTTATCGCACTCAATTTGTCTCAGGTTTACCATTGCAAAAAATTTTATGCTACCCGCAATCAAACGTAAAATTATGAATCCATTGTCCAAAATTTTATCTCCTGAGGCGACTGAAGTTTTACCGATCTTGGTAAAAATACACAACATTTTTGAACATTTGCGAGCGGATGTGGTCGAGCTGTTACGAGGTAGGTCGGAAAAAAAAATGCTTATATATTGTAATTCACTTAACACAAATTCCTTATGTTTTTAGAACTTGAGGAAAAGTTAATGTCTCGAAACCGATATGAGACAACATACGGGTATAGACGTCGGTCACGAGAGATCATATCACAATGCTTGCGGGATATAAACGAGAAGCCACGAAGTGACAGTATGTTAAAAGTTAGAGAGATTCGACCAATGTGAGTTTAGTGGTCATATTGTGCATAAAGTATTCACTGTTGGAAGTAAATTTTGGATAGAGGTTGGATCCAGGCATCCCGAAATGTAATATACATAAGAAATGACCGGACATTCATCGATATTTTATTCAAATAGATTTACTAAAAGCGGTTGATCCCGAAAATTTAGCATTTACAGTAAAACTAATAGACTCTAAATCCCTATTATAAAGAGGAATTAGAATGATTCATTTTTAAATGATAGACCAGTATAAACGTTAAATATATTTTTAAATTAAATAATAAAAAGGTTTTTAATAAGAATTGATATGTACTGTATATATGCATAATTTTACTAGTTGGTGACAGATGGCTAAACTCTTTTTTCTATAAATAGCTACTGTATTTGAAATATTTATAACAAATCAAATAATTTTAATAAAAATATAGCATGAAACACAATATACTTATACCATACTTATTAAATAGAGTATATTATATTTTAATAATTTATAAATAAAGTAAAATTATTATTTTAATCCGCAATAAAATAAAATTATTAAAATAAAAATTAGTACATATTGATACTAGAATTATATAAAGTATTTTTCAAGTCTCAAGTATACAATTTAATATAAATATACTTTTATTATAATATTAATTGTCATATTATTTTTAAAACATTACATGTAAAAACTATTTATTATATACAAGTTTAATCATGTTATTGATTTTTATATTATAGTCAATTTAATTTAAAATTATTAATAACAATATAATATACATATATACTAGTTTTATTATTTGATTTAATTTATGTTATTTGATATTTAAAAATTTGTAATAATTTGATAATAATTACAGTATATAATATTTGCTAAATTTAAATTGTTTATATAAAAATTTAGTATAATAGCAATTAATAATTAATTTTTTATTTCATTTAGGACTTCTAATAATATTATCTTGATATCAATTTGATACTAATTTGATATTTAAATTTATTATAAAATCATATAAGTAGGTTACAATCCATATATTAAATTTACTATAGATTAATATTATTTTAATACTAGTTCAATACCAGTTTGATACTTTTTGAAATCTTAATTATATCAATTTAATTCAACAATTTAATAAAATTGCAATAACAATAAAAACTCTTTCCCGTTCCCCTCAAATATTTGAAAAACTTTCCTTTTTAGGAAATTTTAACGAGACAAGAATGGGAG